TTGAGTTAAAAATCTCCATTTGTGTTCTACTGAAGAAACAAAGTCACTTACATCTTGGATGCCCTGGGGGTAAGCACAGAAATTAAAAATTAAATTTTTTGGGTGAACTATCCCTTTAATGACAGTCGGCAGCATGTTTAGTAGCTCTTTAAGAGCCTGCACGCATCTAATATACAGGCACGTATCCGAATTTCTCTCAACTGTTTACTTTCATTTTAGACATAACCAACTGAGTCTATGGCTACGTCGCGCTTCATGAGTACGCGCTCAGAAAAAGCGCATGCAGAACAGCACGTGAATTAAATGTTTAACCGGTATTGCTTTAAAGCTGATGAAATAATGTAGTTTTGTGATTGCGCATAAGTGCAGTGTCCCGTGAGAGTAACTACCGCTGAGCTAACACTGATGTGAATGCATGTGGCGTTGTAGATTATACTGAGACGGAGGGAGGCGCCAGAACTGCAGCTGATAGAATGTATCATATATGTATCATATATGTCGTACTGTACAGCCCTGGTTTCAGCGGTTCCTCCCTCGCCGCATCTTCTCAGATCAGGTCCGAGGACTGGTTTGTCATGATCGATCTGAAAGACGCATATTTCCATATCTCCATCCTTCCTCATCACAGGAAGTTCCTGAGGTTCGTTTTTGGGGGTAAAGCTTACCAATATCATGTTCTTCCTTTCGGCCTTGCAATACGTTTGTCTCCTGCTCGGATCGAGTCGATCCTCACTGCAGTCAATAGAGTGAAAGAAGGCCAGTCACTCCCTGTCAAGCAGTTTCAAAGACTGCTGGGTCTGATGGCAGCCAGTTTAAACTCATATGGTTTAAAACGCATGATTTCAGTGCAATAAATATGATAATCAGAACTAAAACAGATGTTTTTAGCAGGTCCAAGCTGTAAAGGCGCAGCTCTATTCTGGAAAAGGGGGCGGGGAGCAGCACCTCATTTGCATTTAAAGAGACAGGCACGAAAAACAGCGTGTTTCTGCTGCCACTCAAATTAGGCATTTTCAAAATGATATAATAAATAATCTGTGGGGTATTTTGAGCTGAAACTTA